TTTCTTTTCCATGTATTCAGGGATGTAACCTGTTTAATATCTGATGTATGATCTGAGGTTGTGTTGGAATCACTGTATTGGATCCTCAAGTACAGTCCCGGCCACGTAAAGAGAGAAAATGTCCAGGTAGACCCCCCTGGGGGTAGCGCGCCCCTTCGGTTTCAAAACAATAGCTATGTTTTGACAACAGCGGATTAGGCCTGACCGGGTCTACCTGGACATTTTCTCTCTTTACGTGGCCGGGACTGTACTCAGAAAGCATAGTTGAATGAACTAAACACGTCTGCTAGAATCTAAAATTTAATTTTCTCCCAGTATTTAATGTCACTATGAAAGGTTATTATATCACATTAAATTTGTCAGATTGGATTTTTACTCAAATATATCTTTAAATAAAACAGAGTTTAAATAACATTAGGCTTAACGAGTACCCAGGTTTGCTACTACTGGGAAGGAAAAAGTGTCATTGGTAAAACTTTTACAAATTAATCAAAATATATTTTTGAACTAAACAAGCAAACTACAATATTTTGCTTTTCCTCCATAAGAATAACAAGAGAGTTTTAAATGTTTATTCTTTTGAAAAATTTTCTCCTTAATCTTTAATTGTACAACAACGCTAAAGGCTGATTAAATATAATAAGTTATTTTTTTTATAATTATACCCGATAGATGAAATACAAATCGGACATTTTCATGTTTAAAGAGAACAGATGTGAAATAAATCAATAAAAAAATAACCCCTCCCATAACGTTTCTATGACTCGATCTTAGTAGTTCGCAAACTCATTCATAAGTAGTAAGCTTAAAAAGGTTTAGCTATGTGTGTGTGTTTAGCATATTCATGCTAAATTTAATTGAAATCAGGCCACAACCCCTTTGTCATCGTATTCATAGGGGATTACACATAAATACGTAAAAAAATGAAGAATAATGTTTTTGGCCTTTGGAGAATAGAAAAGTACATCGGTGCTGGGTTGTCATCCTGAAGGGGAAATTCGCTAAAAGCTGGCTATAATTGGCCTCATTAAAAAGTCGGCGTGGGCTACAGAAATCAGTAGCTTGCGTCAGCTTAATCGATGAGTGGCTAAATCAAATTTGGCTCTTTTGATGTATATTTTCAAATAACCTCTTTAACGTAATTTATTTGTAATATACATTTCACTTCAAGTGGTTGTGTGTCCGTTAAAACCGTTTTAAGGAATACATTTATTTTAGCAATGACAATTACTATTTCCACTTCCTTTTGTATTCTTGCATCCCTTTTTTGTAAAATCTATTAACAGTTTTGTTTAAAATTGCTTTTGTTACTGAGAAGCTTAACAACAACATTATATGATTGTACGTTTCCAGAGATGAGTCGAAAACAGCTGATTGAGTTTTTGAGCAACAAACGACGTATCAGGTGAGCCAACTGTTCAGAATGTAATTACCAATGCATTGAATATAAGCTTTAATCGATAAGACTGACATTCATGAATACAGCGTTTTAAAATGAGTATTTGTCGCTGTAAAATGAGCTTACATTTCATACTGTAGGGAAATAAATTTTATTAGCTGCATGGGCTATTAATTAACAGCTGTGTCTAAGGAATAATTCGGCCTTAGTCACTAACAAGACTACAAGATCGCGCCACTCATCCTACACTCCTACACTCATCTCCATTCATACTTGGCTTAAAATACCTACTTTGTATGGTCGCCATTTCATTGTTAAGTATTTAAGTATTAAATATAACGCTTCAGCTTGCTCATAAAATTTGAAAGGTTTAAATATAAATTGTACACTGTATACCTTCTGTAAAAAAAGTCTTTTATGAGGAGCGATCCAAATATAGACTAGATATGTGAAAACCGCTGTAGTTTTCACCTTAGAGATACCTTTTCTGGGATATTGAAGAACTCAAACCGTTGTGTTTAGGTTAGTTGTCTAAAAGCAATCTGTAATTGTCGGGATAATAATCAAGATCTTTAGGAATCGGACAACCGCAGTGTAATACAAGTTCAGGTCGTACTCTGGAGCATTTTCATTCTTATTTTTCAATACCACTCTCAAAAATGTCGCATTAAATTTGCATGAACGTCATAAAATAGCAATAATTCAAATAAATTTCAAACTGACAAAGTGCAGACGTAGCCTTTTAAACTTAGAAATACATCGCTGTGCCGAACAAACATGTTAAGCTCTTGTTTTGAAAACATCCCTAAAAACAAGTTGGATGAGATTTTTTCGGTCTGGAGACAATTATAATTTTTTCAAAATAAGTTACTTTTACTATTTAGTTAAGGGACTTTTATCAGCTTCATTACATGTTTAGGTTGCCTTGGGTTTGGGTTTCCACCATACAGTAATATATATATATATATATATATATATATATATATATATATATATATATATAAACAACCCATTTGTTTAATAATGAAATGTGCCAATAAATTTTGTGGTAGTGTAAGTACAATACACAATTTAAAAAAATGTTAACAGACCTGATGATAGATAAAAGGTTGTAACTTTCACACAACTTCCTTGGAAACTTATCATATAAATAATTCTCAATTGGTAGTGGGAATAGTGGGAAAGTCAGGAAGAGGGAGGCACTAAGGGATTAAAATGGGACAAAATGAAACAGATCCGATGTCTGGTTAGATTATTCATGAAAATAGCCAAAAATTACAGTACAATAGGCCAACCAAACCACTTAACCTTTTTTGCCTAAATCCTACGTAGTCCTAATTGATTTTTTTCTCAAGCATCTAATAATTAATATCTACGACTGTATACTGATCTGAATTAGTCGTACACTAATAAAGTAAAGTTATTCAAACTTATATCGCTTTATAAATACACAACATCATGGTTAAATATGGACATGACTGGAATATTCATGTACCATTCAAGTCCTGCTGGTACGACATTGCTGTTTCTAGTTGTTGTGGAATGGCTAGAAATGTGCACAGATTTAATTTGAGTATTTGAGTAAAACAATCATACTTGTATTTGAACAGCTGTGGTACACCTAATTGTAACGAGTTCGACTACTAACTTTGCCAACAAGTTGGACGCTGCAAGTTGCTAAATCTGTCTTTAATGTTGGTAGCCCTGGATCATTTGACGACTTCAACTCGAGTTCAGCTTAATCCCTTTGCCCTTTCAGAGCCTTTACAGCTGGTTTTAATTGATCGTTCTGAAGACAAATTTCTCTTCATTGAGGTTCAACCTAATCAGTTTGATTTGGGTACAAAAAAATAATTACCGTTAGTATAAATACCCCCATCACAGCAAACCTGCAGACTAAGCGAATTTCCATTTTCCTGATTGTATTTTTACTCAAATATCTCCATAAAAATGTCATGTTTATTCCCTATTAAAAAACTTGTTTAACGAGCACTAAGTTTGCTGCTACAGGGAAGGTAATAATGTGTTTATGGTTTAAACGTTAATAAGTATACTATACTGAAATGAAACAAATTAATTTTACAAACTTTATCAAAATATATTCATAAACAACCAACCTACAACAGTTTACTAAATCTCCTTAAAAATAACACGTAAATGTTAAATTTACAGATTTTATAATTTCTCTTTAACCATTACGCGCATTACAACGCATCAATGTACTAAATTATTTGTTTTTAAACTATACAAAATGGTTTGGAAAGGAATTAAGAAATTGTACGTTTTGTGTGGTAAAAATGGGAAATCCCTCAATCCCTATTAAGCCCCCCGTTAACTCCTGTTCCAAAAGTCCGATTATACTAGTTTGCAAACCCGTTCGAATAAATGTAGGTTTTTACAATTACAAAATGATCATCAGATGATTTTTGCTCGAGTTATCGTGCTAACAGACACAATATGAATTTGAACGGATGTTGTTTTTGGCCTCAGTGGACCTCAAAACGATAAAGCACATCGGCCCCGGGTCCACGTCGTTCCATGAGATCTACGGTAATAGCTTATTACAATTATGGGAAAGTCGCTAAAGAAAAAGAAAACAACTTAACTTGTTGTAAGTATATGAATTAAGTACACGGCTAATACATAAATATTATTTTATGTTGAAACAGTTAAAATCACTAGGTTCTATAAAAATTTAGAAAAGCAAACAGCCACATTGTTATTAACGATAAAATCAAAATGTATTCCTCCTTTAAAATTACTTTAACAGTTGGTTCTTTGAAATGTCATCCACAGATGTATTACTGTATGTAAAAACGAATGCAATAATGGATTTACTGCCTGCGGAGAGATATTTTTTAGTGCTCTTTGCACTGGCAGTAAGAATATGTAAACTTATTCGACACCAAATACATTTTTGAGCAATAGTTTATTCAATTTTTGCAACTAAGCTGCTCTGGTATTTTAATTCGGACTTTGTCAGACTATTATTTTGTCAACACACTGTAACTTAAAAAAAATTATTGAAAAAGGGGAAGTTTAAAAAGTAATTTGTTTTCAACTAAGTTTAGATTCAATTTGAAACTTTTAAGGGCTTGTGGGTTTATTACATTTTAATGCTAAAAATATCCGCCAATATCATACCATACAAAGCCAATTGAAATTGAGGAGTGAGTTTAGACAAAAGAAAAGAAAACAACAAAAACACATTAACATGAACCAAAACAGTCACTCCAATTTCTTCCCTTGGTTAAAAATGCTCTTAAAATATTCCTTGGAAAAGCCATTGACATTTTTTGACACTAAAGATGTACGTGTTAGGTTATATCTAAGACATCTTATAATATTATCTGTACAATACAAATTAAAAAATTACTTTTTGGTAATTATTGTAATCAGTTTTATTAATCGCTATCTGGGTACCCCCTTGCAACCCCCTGGACCACCTTTTTTGAAACCAAGAGTTAATGATTTACTTTTATTTAGTTTTGAGCTGTACTTGGTTTCTGCTTGCCTAAACAGAGAATATGTCGATGACACTATGACAACTGTTTAAATAAAACTCTAATTTATCATATAAGTTAAATGTTATGCCTACCACTTGTGAATGACTGTCAGATATGTGAGTTTGGTTGTTGGTGCATCATGAGTACTTCACGATGGCTTCTCTTTGTTTTAATGGTATTTAATATCCATAAAATATTATTATTTTTTACTTTATAGGGGGTTTACGTTTTGTTTAACCAAGTAAAATCATTTTTGTCTTAATAGTTTTCTACATGAGTGCAAGTATGTTTTGAAAAATATAATTTTTAGCTCAAACAGATTCTTAAAATCTTGTATATCCTTTTTCATAAAATTTTAAACCGCATGAATATGCAGTATTTACTTCATAAATATTCTTTTGCTCTTAATATAAGTGTTTTACAGAGAACATTTTGTGCAATTCAGACAAGAAAATACAATCTTGTATTTATTTGGAGAAAAATACGCTTAGATTTTTAATAATTAATAGGGTTTCTTTGTGAATTATGTTTCAAGCAATCTGAAGAAAACCGTTTTATTTTTGAGCAGTTTAAAGGGGAGGTTACCATCTATAGATGCTAAAGACTATACTTACAGATTACTAGTTATTTATAGTTCGTACATAGGTAACTTGAAATTGAATGAAGATGGAAAATTACACTAAGAAGTCAATAATTTTTAGAGTATTCTTATTAGCTTTTCAATATTATAATGTCAATATTTACTTAAAATGCTTATTTATTTTGTCATTTAATGTAGATTGGTTGTGTCCATTATTCACATCAAAACGCTTCCTTCCAAAGAACATGCTCAGCAGTGGGGGCAGTGGTACACGGCATCACAAACCGGATGAAGCAATCGCTGACTAGAAAAGGAAACCCCAATTCTTTTTGTGAGTTGGTTCTTAAATACTTATCTAGTAAGCCCAAGCATGAGACATGAGAACATGTTCAAGCGACGCCAAGTCAAACGTGTCTGTTCATTATGATTTGGAAATGGTGTTATACAACCTTATATTATGATTTTCTGGCAATTTCTTGTCTTAATAATGAAACATTCTTTGAGTAAAGAGTTGTAACTCATAACAGTAACACCAGAAATAAGCATAACTTTGACTTTACCTCAAGTTTTTGGGTATCTTTAAACCAATCATTAGCAATTATTACAAGCAGGATCAGTTGTTTAATTTAAGAGCTTTTAAAGTACACATCATAAATCACTTTAAAATGTTTTCCACAATAATGGTATGTCTACTTATATCATACCCACTGAAAACATCCTACTAATATTATAAATGTGAAAGTATGGATGTTTGTGTTTAACTCTGAAGTTCCATTATGTGAAAACTACTGGACCAATTGAGCTGAAATTTTGCAGAGAGGTATTTGATAGTCTTGTGAATGTTTGAAAATCTACTTTTGTATATTGTTTAGGTGCACTGGTAGAAAATTATGGTTATTTGTAGATGTGTTATACTATAGAACTAAATTTTCTCAACCCGTCGTTGCAAACGCAGAGCACGAGTAACTACAATAAGCATTTTATACTTATATATACGCCTAACTCGTACTCTGCTAGTTTTGTAATAACACAGTGTAGGATAATCAGTTTATATTTTCAGTCACAGATGTTTGCACCCGGAAGAAATGTTTTCAACTGAAAACAATACCAATGAACAATGATTGGATTCTTCATGCTATATGGTGTTCAAAAGACACCTACATGCTAAGTCAAGGAAACACGAAAACGCACATATCATACTCAATGTACTGCTGGAGAAGAGCTAAAAATAATAATTCAGGGTCAATTTATAATTATAAAATAGGAATATACGGATTTGATGAGACACTTTTGCTAGAAGTAAATTCAAGTGCAGTTAATTGCAACGAGGATAATGTTACTTACTATATTGGAGTAGCAGATACAAACAAGATATTTGTAATAGGGAAGCAAAAGTGTGCGGTATATCGAATAGGTGACACTGATAATCCTACTACAGAAGAAGGTTGTCCCGTTGTCCTTAACCATAGTTCGTGGGTACAGGTATGTAATATTCAAGATTAAATTGAGGTTGGAGGAACAGCTGGGAAATATCTCAGATGAATAACTATAAAGCTTAGCTCTTTCACAGATATATTTTCTCTTAACTGCTGTATGAACTTGCTGTTTTGATAATCTGAGACCATCTTTGTTTTAGCCCTTTAAAATAACACCAACCTTATGGAGAATTTTAACCTTACCCTGTTTTTGAAACATGATTATGGTATAAATTCAAAAGCAATTTGCTGCTTTACAATGCATTCTTTTGAATTATAATTCATAATTTAAGAATGATGATTATAATAAAAAATGCATGTTTGATATCTGATATCAGGATAAATAAAGCCGAATAGTAAAGTAGCAACGCGAAGCACTATGACAATCTATTATGGTTTACTCTTAACAAACATGTCGTTTTAATATAGTAATATTGGTTTGCAGATTTGGCCAAAACCCATAACTGGAAACTACAGACCATACATTACAGAATGATGGACCTTTCGGCACATATTCAACCTACAAATGTATTATTGTGTTACATATTATCTATTAAATACTTGACCATACATTTCTTACGGTTTTCCTGTTGAATTGTTTTCCTTTTTAGTTACCATAGCAAAATAGTTATTTGTGTAACTGGTGGGTGAAGTGGCACTTTGCACTCGCGTTACACATTATATTGATCCTACAGTCACTGTAAAGCATATTAGTCTTTCAAACACTGTACAACACGTTTTCGGTTAGGCTAAATCCAAACATTGAACAAAATGGGAAACGCTGCACCAGCTGATAGTAGTCGTAATATCTTTAAGTGTTGCCAACTTATTTTCAAGCATACAAGTATTACTTGCGTAGTAAAAGCACGTGGTTTTGTGTTGTTTGGTTGGAATACTTGCGGCAAAAAAAGCGGAAAAAGCGAAAAGTGTGCGGCAAAAGCAAATAGATGCAGCAATTAGCAACTTTCTGTGCTACAACTAGTACGAGGAAGGCCACTTTTCAGGCGACTGTAGGAAAAAGCTGTTATAAAACGGTTCACATGAATTCACTAGATAGTGACAATGACTTTGACTTATTTTCCATAACACAAAATATGTTTGAAGCTGCCGCATGGTTGGTAGATTCTAGTCAAAATAGTTAACTAACCAGCCTACAGTACTTGTTTGGACTGAGTGCGAATTTTTAACTTAGTCGATTGGCAGTAAGGCCCATGATATACGGGCAACTTTGCTGTGAAAACTCTGACGCTGATCATAAAAAACTGAGCTGTTATACGAGCAGGCAAAACACCACATCATTGACACATAGGATCTGTTGTGGAGCTGTTAGAGCGGCATAAACGCCGTGACAGGTACCGAGACCAAAAAACTCACGCATCTGAATACGAAAGGGTAGAGTGTGTTGGGGGTGAGGTAGCAGATCTGCCTCATCAAAGCTGCTAGTCCACACAACGAAGACAAAAAGACCAAATAGGGGAAACATTCATATATAAGCAAAATTTTACAGGTGTAGGAAAAAGGGTCCTACTGAAAGTACTGACCGGTGGGGTTGGAGCTTAGGGGGGTAGGGGACTTTAAAGGTCCATTTTAAGGGTTTTCAAAAATACTTAAGAAAAATATTGCCTCCAGCAAAAGTTTTGTCCTAAGTAGGAATGATCCACGGAAAATTGTTGTAACGTTCCAATTTCTGTTTAAGTACTTATATTTCCAGGCTAATTTGAGTGGAGAAGGGGTGGGTTTTAACAATTGTCTGAATAAAAATGCAAAATTACTTAGCTCCAATCTCAATCTATCATCACTGGAGGTTGGCTTGAATGTCTGACTTCAGGGCATCACCTTGTTATCAGGAACTCATCAACAGAAAAACAGCAACGAAGGGACCTGTTCCTCCCAAACCTTGATACCTCACTTGCATGGCAAATGACATTTGAGAAACGTATTAATTATTTTGAGTTTGTTAATTCCTGCCAGTACAATTCAACAATCATTAATACCTTGTATATAAATATGACTCAGACAAAATACTTAATATTTAAATGGAGCAAGAGTCAGCTAGGCAGAGAATATTTATAAATTGATCTGAAGCTGCACAGCCACTGCTCCGTATCTGCGAAGTCACTTCTCCGAAGCTGCGCAGTCACTGCTCCGAAGCTGCGCAGTCACTGCTCCGAAAGGCACTGTTCAGAATGGCAGTGAACCAGGTACGTGTTTTCTAACACTACATTTTGATCAAATGTCTGGATTTTTAAAGTTGATGTATGGTGTCAGGTTTAAATGTGGTATCTGTAAACTCAGATACATCGCCTACCAGCATTGAATTGTATACTTTAATAACACATTTGATTCTCGTAGTTGTAACCATGTGAAATTACATTACAATAAACTCCCAAATGTACTTTTTTGATCCCAATCCCAAAGTTAAGTTCTAACATTTTTAGTTGTCTTTTAATTAATTTACCTTCAAAATTATGGACACTTACCTACCCCACCCTTTGTAAGATAATTATTTTTTTTATACATTTTTAAACATCTATAGTTATAACTTTATGATAGGTTATCTACCGAGCTAGGTTGGTATCACTGCATACCACCTGCACCTGTTGGTATAGGTGCACAGCTGATCAAGCTCTAAATTGTAATGTATTACCACCAAATAAGCCGCTTCTTATAAGGTTTTGTATTCATTGGTATTACCCACTTAGAATTTTTATCAATAGATGTACAACTAACTCTCAACTATCTTACCATAACTTCATTTTATGACTTTTATATTATATTTTAATTTAGTCTTCCAGGTTTCCATTTCAGTTAAAACAACAAAATTAAAATATGCATTCAACGCCCAAAACTTCCAGCAGAACAGGATAGTGATTGATCCGTGCAGATTCGACTAACACTTTAAGCTATTTTAATTGATTGGGTAAACAAAATAAACCTGCACCAAAGCTCGATGATCCTACCTCATTCATCCAAGCTTTAAAGGATTAACACTCGTTTTATATAATACAGTTTAATCAATAGTTTGGATTTTTCACATACAAATATCAATTCACAACAAAAAGAATAACAATGCTGCGAAATGCAACTTGAGTTGATCTTGACCAACACTAATAGGTCGACGGTCATTCAACATTTAACGGAGAGAGTTCTCCGGTGATAAGAAAGTTTTCCAAATATCCGCGAGTGGTTTCCAGCTTGAAATCAATTTTAAGACATCGTGTTGCAAAATTTACACAACGCTCAACAATCAATAAAATAATCAATGGCACGACGACTTTAAACCTATCGTCATTTGTAAAATGAGACAAATTATTTTAAGAGGCTTTTCTGGTTCAAGTATCTATTGATAGAAGATTAGAACGAAATAATAATGTAATTAGTTTCTTGCAACTACCATAACACTAGTTAGCCTGATCTTTTAAACTATTTTTTGTAATAATAGAGTTTTAGTGAGAAAATAGTTTTTAATTATTAGTTTAAAAAAACACGTGATATGCTTTTAGCGAATTTCCCATATAGGGAACATGCTATTACCGTAAGTCTCATGGTAAGACCTAGACCCGGGACCGTTTTTGAGGCCCCCAGAGGCCAAACACACCATCCGTTCAAATTTAAATATATATATATATTTATGTGTCCGTTAACGCGATAACTCGAGCAAAAATTATCCGATTTTGATCACGTGTAAACGTGTAAACCTTCGTTTATTCGAACAAGTTCGCGAACCAGCATAATCGGACCACGTGAACAGGGATTTATTGGGGATTTTAGGGGTCAAAATGGGGTTTTCACAATTTTGACCCTAAAAACAAACCATTTTGTAGAGCTTAAAAAGAGAAATAATTTATTATATTGAAGCACTGTTGTACGCCTAATGATCACAGGGAAAATTCAAAAAAGTGTAATTTAATATTCCCATGATATTTTGATGGAGAAAAACTGTTGTAGTTTACTTGTTTATGGATGTATGTTGATAAAATTTGAAAATTTATTTATTTCATCCTATACTAAATCATGTTTTGACATATGGTTAAAAACACTGTTTACTTACCCCGTAGCAGCAAACCTAAGCACTCTTTAAATCTAAAGTTATCTAAATTGGGAATAAATAAGTCTTATTTATGGAAATATTTGAGTAAAAATGTAATCAGACAAGTTTAAATTCGCTTAGCCTGCAGGTAGCTGCGGCGGGGGTATTTTCATTGGGCATTTCTTTTAAATTTTACAGCAATAAAATTTTTTATAATTTGAAAATCATTATTAAGGACTCATTTTCAATGCAATTTTTTTGTACTTGATATACAGTATGATGATATATAAACGTGTTATATTTATTACTTTACTTCTTAAAATATAATAAATCCAAAAATTATTATTCATAATCGAAATAATGGTTACTAATTTTTAATACTTATATCAACTAAAATGTTTGACTTGAATTTATTCTCAGGGGCACCATACAGGTATAATGGGTTTCTTTTATTTACTTTCCGTATAATAGGCAACAGGAAGAATACATTTACAATTCATAAAACGTTTAATATGGTTGTTTGAATATTGTTGTCTGAGTAATAATATGCTATATTACTATCTGCACACTTCCCTTAGCACGAGTACAGAAACTAGTTCAATTAAAACTTGGTATTTGTGCTTGTGTCAACAGTGAAGTTTTCTAATCTAAAATTACCGTCGCAATGTACATTACATTTCTGATTCAGTGAGACTCGTAATTTCAGTTTATGCGTTTTAGATTTGTTTTACTGCGTCCTCGCCATAGAGAAATAATATCTATGGATTTATTCCTCTGTGCCACGATTCATATTCTATTTTATTTTAGAATTTCCAAGAAAGTTTTAACTACCTACTTATTCGATATGGTCAGTCTAAATGAGATTTCTGAAGGAATTTTCAACGGAATTTGTCTACATTCAAACCGAAAGCTAACAAAATGTAACCAGGGCGATCAGACAAAAAAGGTCTGTCTCAATAATGAATGACACGATTCCCTACTTGGGTCCAACTTCTTACACCAATCCCTGTACGTGACCTTTTACACTGATCAGTAGGTGAATCTCAATCACGATGGCTTCTGATAGAGTTTACCACGTAATGGGATGGGATATGGTAAGCTTACACTAGTGAGTAACAAAATATAATATTACTACATATCCTCCTACCACACAGATATTATTTTATGTACACCACTTTGCAATGAATTATCAAAAGTATTAATGTGACCACCAATTATGCTACTTCTACAAAAACTATTTTGAAAGAAAATCCGTATTATTGTTTTGTTGGAACCAATATTTTGTTCTTCTGTAGTCCCCAGTTTTGAAGATACCTGCTAAATTTCACCGTATAAGAACACTATATCTGGCAATGTTGGTTCAAAAATATGGTCCAATAAAAAGTAATATGCAATATACCTTTTTGTACCTCCTTCTTGGTTCTTCGGTTAATGGGTCTTTTTATACCGTTATGTAATTAGTTTCTACACAGGTTTTTATTTAGTATGTTAAGCAAAGTTAGTCTACAGTATTAAAAATACAAAATTAGC